TGATGGTTTTATCTTTTTTGTTCGTACAAACAAACAAGTGAAAAAACTGGCGAGCTAGACAAATGGATTTCTTTGGTAAAATTAGTCTTGAAGGGTGGCCGTGGAGATTTTTCGGAGCAGCTTTACACGGAACGGAAATTTTAGTTCAATTGAAACTTTTTATATATGACCCGGCAGACTTCGTAGTGCCTCGATCGATAAATAAAAGACCTAAACTTTTGTATAAAATAAACTTAAAACAAACAAAAGGAATCCGTCCGAAAAACAACATTGTTATTTTTATTTAATTCATCAGCATTTTCATATTTATCTACCTTTTAAACCTTCTCTGGACCTCCACAAATAATTTAAGACCAAAATTAGCTAAATTGGTCCAGCCGTTCTCGAGTTTTAGCGAGACTAACGAGCAGCAATTCATTTATATATATAGATTTTTTATATATTTATTTTAAATAATACAAGGGGGGCAATCCTCGAAAGTATTGGGGTCCTAGCGAATGCTGCTGCATCTACATCATCAGGGCAGCCACGACCACTTTGACAAGAGGGTCTGAGTAAAAAGAAAGAACAGTACCTATATTTTATTAAATGATTAATTTAAAATTTGAATGTATTATTGGTATGTTTTTTGTCATGGTGGAACAGTTGGAATGCACCCAGAATGAGCTCACATGCATCTGATCACTGTGATATACCCTTCTTCGAACGGGGTTTGAAGGTTATTCTTAGTAGCGGGCTGTAGTTGCTAATGGCTTAGCTGTGTCTCTGTCATTGATATTCAACGGCTAAGATAACACGCCCTCAGGTAGATTCAAGGTTTTACGCCTTCAAAGACCGGAAACTGCCGTCTTTCACCCTAAGACATATTTACTTAACCGTATCATTTAAGCGTTGAAACCTACCCTCTCATTATACACGAGTAGGTATCGAGAAAACATAAACAGAATAAAAACAACATTTATTTTTATACGTGATTCGATTTTTTAAGAATTGTTTTCTTTATAATCTTTAGTCATTGAAATATTTTGTCGTCTAGAGGCGCTTCAATTTAAAAAGTTTCGGGCTTATAAAATGTCAATGACTTAGGACTAATTTATTTTGGGAGTCCGCACGGGTAGGTACCACCACCCCGCCTATTTGCCGCCGTGAAGCAGTAATGCGTTTCGGTTCGAAGGGTGGGGCAACCGTTGTAACTATACTGTATATTTACGATGTAGATGTCTATGGGCTCCAGTAACCACTTAACACCAGGTGGGTTGTGAGTTCGTCCACCCATATAAGCAACAAAAAAAAAATACATCTCGTCCACTCCAGAAAAAGAAATAATCACACACATTCACATCTGGTCATCTGGCCCCAAACTAGGATTCCTTGTACTATGTGGGAACCAGAGATTTACACAATACATTCTCATATACGTTTTAATATCTGTAATAATATTGGCATTGCATGCAGCAGAGATCTGAATGTTGTGTCTTTGATGTGGTAATCGAACCGCAAATCAGGCTCATGGCTCAACACTCAGGAGAGCTAACTACTGTACCACCGAAACACCCGAAACATTGGCGCAACTCTTTTAGTTAGTTAACTGAGGTGATTAGAGTTAGCTGTTCCCTCAATCTTAAAATTATTGAATAATTATTATAAGTCCACCGCAAGTCAACTATTGATTATGACGGTATTCAGAAAAATTAATGAACAAACTACCCCAGTGTTCTACTATAATTACGTGTTACTTTTATCGCACAAAACATTCCGGCTCGAACACTCGAACGGAGCGGAGCTCTCTGTTGCCATCGCTGTACACTTGAAATGTAATAAATGGAATTCATTGGAAATGTGAGTCTTAATTACTGTCACTATGGAAGGCAATGATATTGATAAAGGGAATGGCTTCAGTAACACTGACGTTATTATTTTAAAAGCACCATATAACCATCCTTACCGACATATATAATCAAATAAATGACCAGAAATTTGTGACATCTGCTCTCCGCCCAATTAAATCGTGTCACGTAGAGGTTAATTTCAAGACACTGGGTCTTAAAAATCATAAAGGCACGTCCCAAGGTATTCACATTAAACCAGTAAAAGCTAATGTAGAATTATAAACTCTAAAAGGGTTTTCTGTTTCTGTCGGCTTCTTATTAAGTATTTAGATAATGTAACGTTGAACAGGTAACTTAGATAGGGTACGTTAGGCATCAATAGAGAGCCGTCAAATAGATCCAATGAAAAGACAACAATAGACCCATCAAATAGACCCAATGAAAAGACAACAATATGTTCAAGAGGTTATTGTGATATCAAATTATTCAGAAAACACTCTTGGTTTATAATAACTTATAGCCTTTTCTATCTTATCTAAGTTATAATGAAAATAATATGTTTTGCACTCGCCAAGCGTAATGACACTAATATACTCGACGCACTGCATGAAAGATTTGCTTTTCTCATACAAAGTGCACGTATTAAGTTTCTTATTACTTGACAAATTAGTTTTCTCTCAAGTTATCTGAGCCACATCCTTGTTTTTTTTTTATTGCTTAGATGGGTGGACGAGCTCACAGTCCACCTAGTGTTAAGTGGTTACTAGAGCCCATAGAAATCTACAACGTAAATGCGCCACCCACCTTGACATATAAGTTCTAAGGTCTCAAGTATAGTTACAACGGCCGCCCCGCCCTTCAAACCGAAACGCATTACTGCTTCTCGGCAGAAATAGGCAGGGTGGTGGCAGGTACCGGGTAGGTACCCGCGCGGACTCTGAAGAGGCCCTACCACCAGTAATTACGCAAATTATAATTTTGCGGGTTTCATTTTTATTACACAATGTTATTCCTTCACCGTGGAAATCAATCGTGAATATTTGTTGAGTACGTATTTCATTAGAAAAATTGGTACCTGCCTGGAATTCGAACATCGATGCATCACTCAACACGAATGCACCGGACGTCTTATCCTTTAGGCCACGACGACTTCATAAAATATTCCTAATGCTCACTGTTGAATCCTGACTATGCAAATTTATTGTGGTGGGAGTAAATATTGGTTAGAGACCTGGTAATATTATAATACGTAATATCTGGTAATGGTAATAGGATATGTGGCCATATTTTTAATATATAACAGACGTCCCACATTTAACGTGTCCAAGCTAGTTTAATATTATGTATTCCTGTAACTAGTCAAGAACATATCCGGACTTCGAATACCTAATATCTGCCACAGAGGTAATCGAATCTGGATTTAACGGTACAGTTAATAACTACTGAACAAATGAGATACTCAATTGTATTATATAACTAGCAACCCGCCCTCGCTTCACTTCGGAAACATTAAATTTTATTATTGATAGCTGAGTCCCGCGACGCTACCCGCGGTTATTGTCGTACCGCGGGTAGCACCGCGGGGCAAAGCTAGTATAAAAAAAGTAGCCTAAGTTACTCATTATATCATCAGCTACCTATCACTGAAGGTCTCGTCAAAATCGGCCCAGCCGTTCCAGAGATTGGTCGGAACAAACAGACAGACAGACAAAAATTGTAAAAAATGTTACATCGGTGTATGTACCGTATACATATTCACATGCATGTAGTAAAAAGTGGTTATTTCAATATTAAAAACTGACACTCTAGTTTTATTTATATGTATAGATGATTGTACAATTTAAGCCAGTACAGAACAAAGAAAGAAAAATAAAAATAGAAATTAAATAATTTTTTTTAAGCGACTAACAGACTCGTCCAATCCTTTTCACGGTCATTAGGGATGAATAAATGAATATTCTAGTAAAATAAAACAGCGAAAAGAGTATCAATTTTCCACTAGAAATACGGAGGGTCGCGTCGTGAATGCCCTCTCATAATCGAGTACCGTGTTTTCGTCTCGCCAATTACTTTTTACGAGTTTTCACAGTCAATTCCGTCTGAATTTTTCTTTCAGTAAAAATTTAGGTTTGTTTTACTGATTAGGCCCGAGGTCTTCCTGATTTTAATTGGTTATCGAAATCTATTGAGCTAACCTAATCACAACCTCATAGACTGACTGAGAGCTCTTCTCAGAACTAACTTCAATTCAGGTCAAATCTAAATCTTTTTTTTATTTTATTGCTTAGATGGATGGACGAGCTCACAGCCCACCTGGTGTTAAGTGGTTACTGGAGCCCATAGACATCTACAACGTAAATGCGCCACCCACCTCGAGATATAAGTTCTAAGGTCTCAGTATAGTTACAACGGCTACCCCACCCTTCGAACCGAAACGCATTACTGCTTCACGGCGGAAATAGGCGGGGTGGTGGTACCNCCCCACCCTTCGAACCGAAACGCATTACTGCTTCACGGCGGAAATAGGCGGGGTGGTGGTACCTACCCGTGCGGACTCCCAAGAGGTCCTACCACCAGTGATTACGCAAATTATAATTTTGCGGGTTTAATTTTTATTACACGATGTTATTCCTTCACCGTGGAAGTCAATCGTGAACATTTGTTGAGTACGTATTTCATGAGAAAAATTGGTACCCGCCTGCGGGATTCGAACACCGGTGCATCGCTACGTACGAATGCACCGGACATCTTATCCTTTAGGCCACGACGACTTCGAAAATCTTCATCAAGATTAGGTCATACTATTCTGGTATCGAATTTATTATATTATTTATTAGAATTTGTTACCTATATTAACTATTGATTTATTATTAAGTACACTTAGATAGGTGTATTATTATTGGAATATAAATCATTTTTCTTTAATAATGCATTATTAATAGTACACGGCAACATACATGCTGTATCTTTATCTTTTCCTGAATTTCTGTTAATTAAGCGGTTGTCTGGAAGAAATGGCTTTTAGCGATAAGACCGCCTATTGTATAAATGTATCTGCTTATTGACTGTTTTCTAATGTCAATTGTGTTTTGATGTGCAATAAATTGTGTTCTCTCCCTTTCTCTATTTTTAATTCAGACACATCATATTAATCTTCTGTTTCTATTTCAGTCAGTGTCAGTGACGGTGTCAGTTCTAACGCTGACGTTCATCTCTGTGGACCGCTGGTACGCTATCTGCTTCCCGCTGAAGTTCAAGTCGACCACGGGCCGCGCCAAGACCGCTATACTGATTATATGGCTTCTATCTCTACTATTCAGTAAGTAATATTTTATCATTCATAAGTGGGAAATATATTGTGAATGTCTCTCTCTCTACAAGGAGAAGATCTTCGAAAAAATGCCGCTGCTAGATTCTTGAGCATTCCTATATTGAATTAAGTATTTTAAATAATGCTGCCTTCTTCTGCAGCCAACAAGAGACCTTATCACCAGTAATTAAAATGGAATTCAAATTTATATGATTTAATCACACGACCTTGTTCCTCCATCGTGGAAGTCACTTCTGTTATGAATATTGATACAAAAGTTATTGTCGGTATGTTCTTACGTACACGAGAAAACGGGCTCACGGGCCGTGGTGTTAAGTCACAAAAGCCCATGACATTACTACGTGAATGCCACCACTCACCTTGAGTCTTGAGACATGAGGTCTAAGCCTCAAAAGTATAGTATAAGGGTTGTTCGATTCTTCAATCCAGAACCCATTACTGCTTCGCAATAGACAGAGTGGTGGTATCTACCTGTGCGGGCTACCAAAACATTCTACCACCACTAATTGCGCAGGTTTTACTTTTTTTGGTAACTTTAGCGATCTATTCCGAGGACTACTACTTCATTTCGGTTTGAAGGATAGAACACCTGTTATTCTATATAAAAGAATCTCGATCTCATGTCTGACGTCATTCACTTTTACGTCTGGTACCCAATCAACACCAGGTCCTAAGTTCCTTTAATTATTAACATGAAGCAAAGCCTTCCATACCCATGCGCACAGGCTCCAAACGATCTTTGATAAACCATACCAACCTCTTCTGAGTGAAGCGAAATCGAAGTCCATCACTTGGAAGGCCCTTCATATTAATACGCTTTTATTAGCTTCAGACGTATGTATGTATGTAACGGAATCTTTGAACATGATTTTGACCCCCCTCAAAACGTCGGATTAACTCGAAATTTGGTATACTTATTAAGGACCGATGACAATTCAATATAAAAAAAAATTATGATTGAAATATTGAAATTCAACCAAAAAATGAAAAATAAAGAATAGTTTAAAAAAACTAACAAAATACGCTTTTATTAAAAAATCCAACTAAAAAATAGAAAATAAATATTAATAAATTTGAATTAAAAATAGTGTAAGAAAAAATTATTTTGTTGTAAAAAAAGCGTGGGGTGCTGTTTTTCAGGATATTATCAAAATAACCCTTCCACTCATATCTGTTCATAAAATATTTATAACTACTGATACCATGCACCCCACGCTTTTGTTCACAATAAAATCATTTTTTCTTACACTATTTTTAATTCAAATTTCTTAAATTTTTTTTTCTATTTTTTAGTTGGATTTTCTATAAAAGCGTATTTTGTTAGAGCTATTATTTATTTTCGTGCTGCAAATCCCAAAACAGATATACCGGAATTCGTCGTGCTTCAAGTGCAAACGAAGATGCAGCTGCGCTTCAACGTGCAATACTTCATGCAGTGCGCCTCCACTTGGTCTGATGAAAGCGATCTGACTTGGCACATCATCAAGGCACTGTTTCTGTATACGTAAGTACTCGTGCAGATGCATAAGATATATACAGGTAGCCTTCTATAATACGGTATTTCAGAACCGGCATATATAAATCCTACCTATGCTGATAGCCTTGAGAGGCTATTTTAGCTTCGCCCTAACGTGTGTAGATTAGCTCACGGGGCTCAAACCGGAGTGTTGCTAACACTGACCCTAGCAAGAGCAGTGCTTCGCAGAATCAACCGCTGGATCAGAAACGCGATCCACTGAGAAGATCCGGCGAACTCAGTGGGCTGTGTTTTTTTTTTATTGCTTAGATGGGTGGACGAGCTCACAGCCCACCTGGTGTTAAGTGGTTACTGGAGCCCATAGACATCTACAACGTAGACGCGCCACCCACCTTGAGATACAAGTTCTAAAGTCTCAGTATAGTTACAACGGCTGCCCCACCCTTCAAACCGAAACGCATTATTGCTTCACAGCAGAAATAGGCAGGGCGGTGGTACCTATCCGCGCGGACTCACAAGTGGTCCTACCACCAGTAATTACGCAAATTATAATTTTGCGGGTTTGATTTTTATTACACGATGTTGTTCCTTCACCATGGAAGTGAATCGTGAACATTTGTCTAGTACGTATTTCATTAGAAAAATTGGTACCCGCCTGCGGGATTCGAACACCGTTGCATCGCTTCAACACGAATGCACCGGACGTCTTATCCTTTAGGCCACGACGACTTCTATAGGTTAATTCGCTCGTCGAGCCCTTCGTCGCAAGCGACGGGTTTGACGAGGACGGTGACCGGGTTTCACAGCACGGTTCCATTCTAACACGAAAAGAAAAATTCCCCAAAACTCTCTTAAAACACGGTACTTTTACAACACGATGAAAAGATTTTTGTTTAAAATTATTGAAGTGAAACTTCTAATGCGACTTCGAACAAGGTTGCGTTAAGCGTTTAACACTCCAGAGGAGGGGGAATAAACAGAGACAGAGCGAGAGTGAATGTGTGGCACTCGAACGTAGCGCGCTACACGTGTAATGATTCTGGGGAAGGGGAATAGACAGAGACAGAGCGAGAGTGAATGTGTGGCACTCAAACGCATCGCGTAGTATACCTGTTACAGGACAGCGCGAGCGTTAGCAGATGTTAGCAGATGTCGCATCTCTTATACACAGCGTTCCCTATTACAAGAGCAATCTGATTTAAGGATGAAAAATGAAGAAAACCACAATACTACATCAAAAAAGAAGTTTCACTTCATTCACGTGCACAAAGTTGCACGCGCACTGTTTTTTTTTTTTTTTTTCAAAATTACATTATGCGCTATGAACACACAATATATTTGGGAATAACCGAAATTTTACTGCTTAGTTTTTATGTACAGCGGTAAAAAATACATACAGGCGTAGTTGAGATGTTCCATTCAGAAAAAATACGGTCCTTTTTGTACTGACTTCTAGTCTAATATAACGCGATTTCGCACAACACGGGACTTTGTAGGAACGTATCTATCGTGTTATAGGAGGGCTACCTGTTTTTTAATCTAGTTCTAAAAATAGTCCTCAGTATTGGGCCATGGCGACTATGACCATGCATCTTTCTGCCGTGAAGCAGTAATGCGTTTCGGTTTGAAGGATGGGGCAGCCGTTGTAACTAAACTTGAGACCTTAGAACTTATATCTCAAGGTGGGTGGCGCATTACTTTGTGGATGTCTATGGGCTCCAGTAATCACTTAACACCGGGTGGGCTGTGAGGTCGTCCACCCACATAAGCAAAAAAAAACCCATGAAATAGTCCGTATAGCCGATTTTTTATTTATTTCCAAGATACGTGGACGAGCTAACGACTTACCTGGTGTCAAGCGGTTTCCAGAGCCCATAGACATGAACAAAGTAATTGCCCCTACCCACCTTGGAATATGAGTCCTAAGTCTCATTTTCTACAGAACAACGCCCCACTCTTCAAACCGAAACGCGTTACTATCCACCTGCCTAAGGACTTACAATCTTCTCTAAGTCGGTCCCATAGCCCAACGAATACAATCATTAGGCATTGTCTTGATGATTTATTGATTTAAAATTCCAATTTGTTTAGATTCCCGCTATTGCTGATGACGATCGCCTACTGCCAAATCGTACGAGTGCTTTGGAGATCAGACAACATTCCTGGCCACACTGAATCCCACAAGTTGTGCAGCACGCAAACAGGGCAGAGCAATTGTGAGTTTAATAAAATTTTTAGCTAAAAATGCCTACGGTTTTCAAGGTCACAAAATTGAGATTTTGGCTAAGGTCTTCGAAGCATGGTGATAACAGACCGAGCTGATTGGTAATAGGGTAGATTAAAATTAAGAAAATACTAAAGCTTAGAGTTATTGTACTACATCTCTATCATTCTATTAAAGTAGGTATTTAAGGATTAGGGATTAGAAAGGTCGAGAAAACATTAAAGAATAGTACTGAGAAACGATGTCAGAAAAATAGTGGGAGGATCTTGAAGCATCATCATTATTTTGTGTAAAAGCTGACAAATATGGCCTGATTGATGTGGAATAGTTTCCGTGGCTCATCAACATCGGCAATTCAAAGATCAGAGATATCCAGGTCTGAGGATCCTCTTTAAGCCTTGTTTAATAAAGGACATGTTATAACGCTCAGGAAATATCGTGGTGGGAAGTTAATTTCGAGCTGATGGATAATTAGATCAGAATACTAAGAATACCCAGTGGATGAATACTCACTGGTTCCATCAAAATGCATAAATTGAAGCTATAAGCGCTCCAGAATCGACTTCGATACAATTTTGTAATATTGTATTATGATGACACATCTATACTAATATTATAAGGAGGAAAGATTTGTTTGTTAATTTGTATTGAATAGGCTCCGAAAGAACTGAACCGATTTGAAAAATTCTTTCATTGTTTGGAAGCTACACTATTCCCGAGTGACATAGGCTATAAACTTTTTTGAAAAAAATTAGAGATCCTTACTAAAACTCTAATAATGTAACCCAAGGTGTAAAAAATGTTTACATCGTGTGCCCTGCGAGAACTATTCATTTTTTTCAAAGAAAAGGGAACTAAAATTCCAATAATGTAACCCAAGGCGTATAAAAAATTACCTAAAATATTCTTTACATCGCGTTCCCTGCGAAAACTATTGATGATAGAATAAAATAATGTACTACGACTTTACAGAACACATTGTTATTAACAAATAGTGTCGGGAAAACTATTATAGTTATGCCGCAATAAGTGTTCTTTTATTTAAAAAAATAAAACAACGTAAAATATCGTTGAAATTTTTGTTAAAGACCCGAGCGGAGCCGGAGCGGGCCGCTTGTTTGTAATAACTTTATAGTATCTTGTCGAAGCATTATCATTAAAATCCAATATCTAGGCTAACCATTGTATTACATGTATAGGTAAGAGAAGATTATCTCTCATAAGCTTGATTTAGTCACCGAAGCTCGCACGAAAGCTCCTATAATTACTCGGAACCCGATTAGCAAATTCACTCAAAGCTATTAATACCGCAAATTGTCTTTTCTCAGACAAATTTATTTTTATGTTAGTTGCTTAATGACGAAATATGTATGTGTGACGTGTAAGTTTGTGACAGAGATTGAATAGAAGTCAGTTTTTATAATACTAGAGGTCCCGCAGTAGTCGAAATTCGACTATAATTAATTGGATTTATAAGTTTGTACACTATTATGTATTTTATACTCCTATAATCACAAATTTCGCCAAGACTACACTATAAAAAATATTAACAAAGACAAACAATATTTAATCTATTCTCAATTTGACAACAGACGTCAAGAACAAAAGTTTGGCAATAAATAGTATGCATGCATGTGTGCGTCATATAAATGGTATGTAGTGTGTGTAATGTTTTCTTTATTGATTTAATGTATCTTTTATGCATTATTTTAAAAAAATATTAGCATTGTGCACTTCTTCTCTATATTCTCTATAAGTGTGCAAAATTTCATACTCCTCCGTTTGCGCAATTTTCGTAAAAAGGGATAAAAAAGTTTTTGCTTCACATATTAATATATAGATGTTAGTTGCTTAATGACAAAATATATATGTGCGACGTGTAAGTTTTTGACAGAGATTGAATAGAAGTCAGTTTTTATAATATATCGGACCAGTTATAAATTAGAAGAACATTTAGATGCTATTTCTCCTTAACCAATCTGCAGTAATTTCAATAACTTAATTACTCCGGCTTAAACTAGAATAGAGGGAAAAAGGTCTAGGGGTAGAGGTCCCAAACGATGGTCGGACCAAATAGTGGAGGAACTGGGGATACCAGTCAGCGACGCACTCCACCAAGCTACAAAACGGGATCGATGGAGACAACTGGTTGACGGAATCGAACGGAGTCACGATCCTCAGCAGTGAAGGACCGACCGAAGAGAGAGAGAGAGAGAAATTACTCCGGCTAATTCCTTAACGCTCCTTAAACACCCTAATAATAATCTTGGATATTATTTATTCCCCTGCAAGCATGTTATACGTCTTGCAACTTTGCACTGCGGAGCTATTGTGCGCTCCGTTAAGAAATTGTATAAATGAGATACTTGGATATAATTAAGCATTACGTTACTATTAAATCTTGACACATACGATCTATTGCAAATCTATCAAGGCTTTTAAGCTCGGTGTAGATTTCATTCATTTATTATTATCGTATTATATTTATTTTGAATAAGACATTTTTTTAGCTAGTAAACATGCGATAAATCACTAATGTCATTATTAATTGTTAACAATTCGCGCATAATCGTTCGGACTCAGTTTAGGATCCCTTTGGGTATACACATATAATATATGTTTAAATAATGTAATAAATATATAAATAATAAACACCCAGACAAAGAGCAAACAAATCTGTTCATCACACAATATTTGCCTGATGTGGGAATCTAATCCACGTCCCTCGGCGAAACCGTCAGAGGCGCTAACAACTTTCAACACCGAATCTTTTTTTTCCCTACCTATGCTGATAGTCTTGAGAGGCATATCAGCGTTACCCTAGTGTGTAGGTGAGCTCTCGGAGCTCAACCCGGATTGTTGCTAACCCTGGCCCTAGCAAGAGCAGTGCTTCACAGAATCTACAATTGGATCGGAAACGCGACCCACTGAGAAGATCCGGCGAGAAACTCAGTGGGCTGTGTCTATAGATTAATTTACTCGCCGAACCCGAAGAACGGGGACCGGGTCAGTTATATTACCAACCTTATAGTCCGGTACCTGTTTAACCAACAGTCAGACTTTGAAATATTCTGCTCATCAACGTCAACATACAGAGATATAAACAAAAAATAAGTCAAACAGTAAAACTGTTGTTGCCACATCGCGTTTCCGAGTTCCACCCACGTTCGTATGTACTTGTCAAATAAACAAACATCACGCCCGCTAAATTTAATGCGAACAGATCAATCGAATAAAATATCAAAAGAATACATATCAGAATACATCACTTACTGAAAAACCAATATAGTTCACAAGCGCATAGTTGGAGCACGAATTTATTGTCTGCTTTTCCCACAACCATATTGTTCAACTAAATAAGCAGTATCTCGCGATATTGGAAAATAATGGATACAGAAATTGAAATTGAAAGGATCGTGCGATTTATTGAATGGTTTTTGATGAGACCGCTTCCGTGTCGTGTATGGATGTTGAATGAAGACGCAAATAGCATAACGTATCTGTGGTGATATTTAGTGGTTAAGGTGTAGCATGGCGCTATTAAGGCCGGCCTGTCGACCAAAGGAACCGGTGGTCATGTCATCAGCGGCCGCCGACCCGGCGTCTGGAGGGCAGCGGGATGGATTTTTTTATTTTATTGCTTAGATGGGTAGACGAGCTCACAGCCTACCTGGGGTTAATTGGTTACTGGAGCACATCTGCAACGTAAATGCGCCACCCACCTTGAGATATAAGATCTTAGGTCTCAATTATAGTTACAACGGCTGCCCCGCCCTTCAAACCGAAACGCATTACTGCTTCACGACAGAAATAGGCAGGGTGGTGGTACCCGCCCGCGCGGACTCTCAAAAGTTCCTGCCACCAGTAAAAATCTTTTACGCAATCGAGAAGTTAATAAACTCGCACTAAGCACACATTAGAATTGGACGATAATATTATTTATGTTTATATTTTTTATGTTTGTTTATGTAAGGTGTTGATATGTTATATTTGATAATGGCATTGTTTTACTGCAATCGCTTTGAAAAATCTTCTTTTTCGCGCTTGCGTGAATGAGCTTACAGCCTATTTAAGTTTAAGAGGTGATCAGGGCTCATTGACGTCATAACGTGAATGTCGCCAACCTTGACAAACAAAGTAGAATCCCCAATATTACTGCTTATAGTCTGACCCATCATCGGAACCGAACAACTCGTTACAGGACTACAGTATTTACCCGTGCCGGATTAAAATGCGCCCTAACACCAGAGCCGCAAGACTAATTTTCCTTATTTGCCTATTACTAATGTCAATAAAATCACTAACCTTCCTGACAAGGCGAAAACGCTAGTACATAACGGTACATTTACGACGATATAAAATCAAACTTTTCTCACACGATGCCAAGTTTTGCTTGCTTTTATGGAAACGCTGACATTGCGATTGATGCAATGTACAGAGAAATGAGGGCCACAAGACCAGCGACATCATCGTGTAATGCATTCTTGAGATTTTTGACGTGACAACGACTTATAATTCGATGGAGCCGGCTGCACGCACGAAAAAACATGACTCATGCGGCGTTACCTCGCTCTGAGACGTTCCATTTAAGGCTTGAAGTGCAAGCGAGAGCGCAACGAGCGACAAAGAGGCACAATCGGCCTCCGCGTTCGGCAGCGTTCGACATCTGTCTCTCTCCTACTTGAGTGAGCGATGCATCCGCGTGGACAGCTGCTATACAATAAGCCGTGCCGTCGGACCGTGGTGCGGATGGTCCTAGCCCTAGAACTGCCGATTGGCTCAAACGAAGCACCATTCTGTTCTGGCGCCGGCGTGGTGTGACAGCAACAGAAACATTTGAAGTACGATCTGTGGAATTCGCGACGGAATTTCCCTGGAACAAAGGAGGCTTCGTTGTAAATTAATGCGGATTATGATTTTGGATATTATCCCGATGCTAACAGTGGTGGGGTGCTGGGGTGAGGTGTAGTTTTTATTGGTTTATATAGGTGAAAGAGAACGGTGGTACAGTGGGAAGTGAATCAAATTGTTGTTAACGACTGTTATCTGTTGTATGTTTTAAGAGAAAACGCTACTGTTGTTTAGTCTATATAAATATATTCCCATGTTTCCCCTTTCGATTGTGACAATAGAGCAAATATTTAAATACCATATGATCTTGGCCATCCATTACTGCTACGCTTCGGTATAAAATAATAAAAAAACACTATAATTTTTTCGCTATTTTGCGATATAGTAAATTACACTTAATAAATCAGTAAAATATATTATGGCCACAGTTTTTCTTAAATTAAAATTGAAATATATTGAAATCAATCCAGTTTCGTAGGAGGAAAAAAGGAAATACGAATTGTCGATTTCTAATTTTGTATATCGGTAATTCGAGCCGTAATATTGTTTTTTTGACGTGACAATTTGATGGAGCCGGTTGCACGCACGAAAAAACATGACTCATGCGGCGTTACCTCGCTCTGAGGCGATGTGAGCGATGCATCCGCGTGGACAGCTGCTATACAATAATACATTTACATGTTTTCGTCAAGTATGAAGTTCAGTGAAAATTGAATGTGGTGTCAATTGTTTATAGCAACGATAATTGCGGCGATTCGAAGAATCAATTCAATAGTGATTTCCATTTACCTCCTTCTCTATATATCTATATTGATGACATAGATTCTTTATGAGGCTACTCCAGATAAAGCTTGAATCCTTCTACAGGGCTAGCGGCATCTCGACGCACAACGCCATCGATCCACACGAACGCCTCCACCGAGGGTCAGCTTCGGTCACGGCGGAAGGCCGCCAAGATGCTGGTGGCTGTGGTAGCGATGTTCGCTGTTTGTTACTTCCCGGTACACCTCCTCTCTGTATTAAGGTACGTTTTTTTTCTACTATCCGACATTTTCTTTAATAAATCGTGAAAACCAGTCGAAGTCTTACTAGCGATTAACATACCCGTCGTGGATAAGCTTGGACGAGGCTTGGATATTGACCGGTGATTGATAATGATGATTCGTGTACCTGAGGTCAAGTTCAATTGAATACTTGAGCTTTATACTGGAGGTAGGACCTCTTGAGAGTCCGCGCGGGTAGGTACCACCACTCCGCCTATTTCTGCCGTGAAGCAGTAATGCGTTTCGGTTTGAAGGGTGAGGCAGCCGTTGTAACTATACTTGAGACCTTAGAACTTATATCTCAAGCTGGGTGGCGCTTATGTCGTAGATATCTATGGGCTCCAGTAACCACTTAGGTAATACTAGGTCGGCTGTGAGCTCGTCCACTCATCCAAGCAATAAAAAAAAGCTTTATATGGCAAACTTTGTACTGGTTGGATGTTATGTTGTGACATCACAACCATTCCTATTTCTGCCGTGAAGCGGTAATATCTTTCGTCTTGAAGGGCGTAACAGCCCTTTTAGTTGACAATGAAGATTTAAACTTCATGTTTGAAGGTGAGTGGCGGTATTCACATTGTGATGTTTGTATGTGGTCTACGGTAACCATATAACATCAGATCGACAGTGAGCTGGTTCTGGATAATAATGTCTCTGCTATTGCACTGAATGCACAATGGTTAGTCTATGTATGTAGTATATATTTCCGTAGCAAAATTGTCCTCCTTCTGTTCGTCTTCTGATATCCTTCTACAATCATTAGCGCCGATAAAATAAGCACCGGGTCCAATTTATTTTTAATAATAGGTGATAAGTCCCAGAGGAATCGATCGTCAAAGGCAAATTGTTTGCTTATTCGAAGAAATACTAATGCTAAGGACGTGTAATGAACTCACGTGCCTCGGTACGTCTTCCTATCAAATCCCCCTATTGTATTCTGATTTGAAGGTTACCGTAGCTTCTATTTGAAGGTGAATTGAATCTTCGACCTTGTTCCAAGGTATGCAGCGTTCATTTTAGCGTGCGATAGTTGAATTTCAGGGATTTGCCATGACTTTTTATTGCTCGAAATAACTTGGGTCTTTTTACCTTTGCTTTAACGTCTACGTGATTCTCCCAGGGTCGCTTTTGACGTGCAACAAACAGACGTGATGACCTGCATCGCTCTGATATCACACGTGATGTGCTACGCGAACTCCGCCGTCAACCCGCTGATTTACAACTTCATGAGCGGTAAGTCGAAAGTGCAATTTTGAAATTGCCCCCAAATAAATTTAAGTAGATGCTTTTCAAGCTTGTTTCATTTTGCTTCCTCGTATTATCATTGGATTACATTGAATTGTGCAATCGTTCAATGGTTTTTTATGCATGTTTTTTTTTTAATTTATTTATTTAGGGTTACTTTTTAACATCTAGGGTCATTAACGACCACAGTTTACAGTATCATTTTAAGTTACATTTACTTCAACATCCATACTAAATCATACAAACCAATGATCTTTAAAAAACTAAGGGTCTGCTTATACCCATCTTGAGTCAGACAGTCTGTTAAATTATCAGGGAGTTTACAAAATTGTCTTTCTATGTCATGCTTTACATTCAACTAACAGTGTACTACAGTTTGATCCAAACCACAGTTACATTTGTTTTTATCTGTTTTGGTAATAAGATGTATGTGAGTTAAATTTGTGTGTCCAATCCGCAATCTTGTAAGAACCACGTGGTCTTTGTTTTCACTCTTTTAGTACCATATCGAGCCGTTACCGGTTCGTAAATTGTTAATAAGCTAATTTCGAAAAAACGTGGGAAATGAATTAATCAAACGACTGATTACATTCTTTTATTAACCTGATTGAAATATGTTTTTACTGCCATATATACTTTTGAAAGGTTTTAGTTGCGATTTTATTTCAACTTTCTGATTATTAGTAAAGCATTTTAGAAATATGAATACTTAAATGCACTCTTAATTTTAAATACTGTTAAAAAGCTGTCATATGACATAGAGCTGCAATTTGGGCATTGCAAGGCATTGCTGACCTTCAGCTCCATACTGATATGGGCATGGTAGTTTTACTATAGTTTTGTTTTTTTGTAATGGCGAAGTTACTTGTGTTTTAATAAATTCGAATCGATTTAACTAAAAATTCATTACACGTCTTCGAAAGAGCAACTACCAGGGTCGAATGTACAGAGATTCTAAATCCAATTACTAAGAACGAGTGTGAAATTCACACTTCAGAGAGAGAAATCTTCAGAAGCATTCTATCTCATTCACTCGCACGGTAAATCCTATACATATCCTCTAAATTTTTATCTATTTCATCTCTACCTACTACGTTTTTTTTAAATAACAAAATAGTTAAAAAAGTTGTCACTTAAAAATCTACATTATCCATTGAAATTCGATGTCATGACAACTTTGAGTTGATTCTTTTACTATAACTATTACACTACTGATGACCTCAAGCTTTTCTCCTGTGTTATGGACGCTAGAGACGCACCAACGAACAAAAACAAGTACACCCAGATCTCTAATACCAAACATCAACTTCGGCATCCTTCAATAGGTGCCTAATTTTCAAAGATGGGATCTAACACCGTCATATTTTTATCATAAATATGAACCCCTAGAGACAAAATAAAACTTAAGATACTTTTACTCTCTTCCGAATACTTTTCGATTTATTGCTTCCTACTTTTGGAATAATTCACAGTTTTTGTGCTTTTAGTGGACATTTCAGAATTGCGCTACCATATCATTTTAATACGCTTTTGTTAGCTTCAGACGTATGTATGTTTGTAACGGAATCTTTGAACATGATTTTGACCCCCTTCAAAACGTCGGACTAACTCGAAATTTAGTATACTTATTAAGGGACGATGACAATTCAATATTAAAAAATAATAATTGAAAATTTTTAAATTAAAGTAAAAAATGAAAAATAAATAATAGTTTAAAAAAAAACTAAGAAAATACGCTTTTATAGAAAAACAAACTAAAAATAGATTCAAATTTTTAACATTAATAAATTTTAATTAAAAATTGTGTAAGAAAAAATGATTTTATTGTAAAAAAGCGTGGGATGTATCATATGGTATAGGTAGTTATAAATATTTTATGAACAGATATGAGTAAAAAGGTTATTTTGCTAATATCCTGAAAAGCACCCCACGCTTTTTTACAATAAAGCGTATTTTGTTAGTTTTTTTAAACTATTATTTATTTAAAAAAAGTAATTAATAGCTGTGAGCAAATCGCGCACGGTCATCTGGCCCCAAATTAGGATTAGGTACCTAGTGTCATGGGTACCAGAGACTGACATACATACATACATACATATAAACATTTGAATATATACATATATAGATAATATACACCCAGACGAAGAGGAAACAAACCTGTTCATCACACGAACGTTTGCCTGATGTGGGTACCGAACCCACGACCCATCTGTAAGAACACTAATTACTGGACCACCGAGTTAGTCTTTAATTATTATTTTTTATTGCCTTTAAGTAAGTGGTTACCGTCACCCAAATTCAAACTTTACGTAAGCGTTCCTTAACTTACTGGTGGTAGGACCTCTTGAGAGTCCGCGCGGGTAGGTACCACCATCCTGCTTATTTCTGCCGTGAAGCAGTAATGCGTTTCGGTTTGAAAGGTGGGGCAGCCGCTGTAACTATACTTGAGACCTTAGAACTTATGTCTCAAAGTGGGTGGCGCATTTACGTTGAAGATGTCTATGGACTCCAGTAACCACTTAACACCAGGTGGACTGTGAGCTCGTCCCACCTAAGCAATAAAAAAAATAAAAAAATTACTAAAATTCTATAAAGAATGCTTGGTACGATAATTATTCGAGATGATTCCATCGTCTGCATTGCACACCAGGATTTCTCGTCGCCCTCCAGCCTACCCCCGAGGGTAAGCAAATATTCAACATCCGAACGGTCTGTAGCCTTTCCGGAATCGCAGTCGAAACCCCACACAAGAAAGGCACACCTAGCCAGTGCCATAACTGCCAATTATACGGGCATTCTTCCCGTAACTGTCACGCGCGCCCCCGATGCGTCAAGTGCTTAGGCGATCACGCCACGGCCCNACAAAAAAAAAAAAAAAAAAAAAAAAAAAAAAAAAAAAAAAAAAAAAAAAAAAAAAAAAAAACACCAGGATTGGATTACAGCATTACGTTACACGTCATTACGGATCCTCCTGATCCATTAACGGTGCTTTTAGGTACCACAAGCACCGGTCACCGTCCTCCTCGAACCCGTCGCTTGCGACGAAGGGCTTGACGAGTGACTTAACCTATAGACACAGCCCACTGAGTTTCTTGCCGGCTAGTACTGCTCTTGCTAGGGCCAGTGTTAGCAGCATTCCCGGTTTGTGCTCCGTGAGCTCACCTACACGTCAAGTAGAAGCCGAAATAGTTTCTCAAGGCTATCAGCATTGGTAGGAGGAAAATCATTACGACATTGAACTGCTGTTTCCAGGGTTCCAAAAACAATTTTGCAACTTAAGTCTCTAACGAAGTACTTAAGAACTAAGTCCTCCGCATTGTTGCAATGCTATCAAGCGAAATGACATATCCTTTTGTAATTTGGGTTTCTAAGTACAGCTCAGCTTTAGCTGTGCTCCTCTCATTTTCACTGGTGACGCTAATCACTCAATAACAGGCTTATAGTATACTTTTAAGCTATGGATCTAAGTATATTACAAAAACAAATTATTTGAAACAGACAATGGAAAATATAAAATGAGATTCAACTGCGCTATGCCTTGATTGATATTATCACGTATGTACATGTTTAAATCAATTCTGAACTTCAAACGTAAGAAGAACTCGTTAGAAGCGGCAACAACGTATTAATAATTTTAATAATTTTAATTACTTATACACAACGTGTTACGACATCACACCTCATTCAAATTAAGTTGTAATTAAAATTCGAGTTAATTAAATTGTGATTGCTCTTCTCGTAGACATTTTAAATTTATTTGATAATCTATATATATAAAAATTAATTGCTGTTCGTCAGTCTCGCTAAAACTCGAGAACGGCTGGACCGATTTGGCTAATTTTGGTCTTGAATTATCTGTGGAAGTCCAGAGAAGGTTTAAAACGTAGATAAACATGAAAATGCTCGGAATTAAATAAAAATAACAATTTTGTTTTACTTTTGACGTCGGATGGATTTCTTTGTTTGTTTTAAGTTTATTTTATACAAAAGTTTAGGTCTTTTCTTTATCGATTGAGGCACTACGAAGTCTGCCGGGTCAGCTAGTATTAATATAAATATTGGGGATTTGAAAAATGGGATTTGGAGCGTAAGATCTTTGTGGCCCGCCGAATATATGGCGCATAATATACGCACAACTATGGCGTCACAGCGTATGAATAATTTTCAAGATTTTTTCGTACCAACTTGATTTTTATTAGACGATGCTATTCCTTCAACGCTGGAGTGGTTTATAAATAACTCTTTAAGTACGTATTTGGTTATAAAAATCCAATTGTGTACGCGGTGTCACTTACATTCTATTTGTTCAATATGTAGGTTAAAAGTATATTTCATCCAATATCAAATTTAAAATCTTAACTTAAATAACCTCTTTTTTTAAATTGCATATATGAGTGGACGAGCGCACGGCCCGACTGATGTTAAGTGGTAAGCGGAGCCCATAGACATCTACAACGTAAATGCCGCCACCCACCTTGAGATATGAGTTTTAAGGTCTCAATATAGTTACAACGGCTGAAATAGGCAGGGTGCTTTGTACCTACCCGTCCTCACAAGAGGCTCTACCACCATTATTTACGCAAATAATTTTGCGGGTTTGATTTTTATTCATTTTCTAATTCAATACTCTTGGTTTCGCTGTCTTTAAATTGTATAATCTCGAAATCATCTGTGAACTTGCAGTTTTATATAATTGCGTTATGACGTCACTCGCTTACGTCATTAGGAAAGCTTCGTATAGTTCTGCTTAAAAGAAATTTCTAATAAATAAAAATGCTGTCCATAACTTTCACTAAATAAACAAAAGAACTATCTTCAACTACTGACATTCTAAACAAAGCTTTATTTATATTGCCTGTAGAGCTTAGATCAGATTACGTGTCAATTGACTTTACGATTTACGTCATTGTAACGTGATACTGATGTTAATCGAGACATAATTGGCTTGTTTACGTTAAGGATTCTGTTTACGATAAACATGATTATCT